CCTAAAAATGTGATTGTAACTCACAATTTATGAAGTTGTAACCGAGAAATTAATTGTGACCAATTATTTGATAATTTGTGAACGATAAAATAGTTGTGACCAATAAAAATTTTGATTTTGATACTGATGAATAATTTGTGACCTATAAAAGTTTTGATTTGTGACTGAGAAATAATCTTGACATATAGAATTTTTTATTTGTGATTGAAAAATAATTTGTAACCAATTAATTCGATAATTTGTGACCTTAATATATTTAATTGTGATTTACAATTTTTTGATGTGTGACTAATTAATAAATTGTGACATATAATTTTTTTATGACCATAAAATAACTTATGACCTATAAAATTTCTAATTCGTAATCGAAAAATAATTTGTGATCAATAGTATAGAATTGTGATATTAATATAATTAATTAAAAATAGATTTTTAATTAATTATTTCATAAATAAATTTTAATTAATATCTAATTTTTGAAATAATAAACTTTTTTTCTTAATTTTGAAATGAGTCAAACTTAAACTCTTAGACTTGAATTTTTCCTTTAGTTAATTAAAATTATTGAATATTGGACGAGTTAAGTTTAAGAGGCGGGCCAAACCCATCGGACTTATATTAATAAACTATTAGGGTTTCAGAAAGAACATAACACAATTCATTATCTTGTTAGCACAATAAAAAAGAAATCATAATCCTCTCATTCTTGTTCCCTATGTGGAATTTCATTGGAGGTTGGACAATTAGATAACCGTGGAATGCAGATCGTGATTGTTTGATTTCAAAACAAGTTTGCTGAATTTAATAAATGTATATTTTCTATCACGGTCTCAATCTAAACACAAAATAGATTCTTGATGGAATTGAAATTATTTTTATTTTTCGTTGTGATAATTAAGTAAATTTTCAACAAGTACCGTAAATAATAACAAGAAACAAGAAATCTCAAGCAACGTGGTTCGGCTACAGTAGTGTGTTGTTCACCACAAATAATTTAATGGATGTAGAGCGTATTAAAACCTGAACCCACAGTTTAATTGCAGTTCTCGCCAGTCATGCATGCATATTTCACTATCAAAGCTTGCATTTTATCAACGTGTTTCTTGTTTCAAGGCTCGCTGTAATTCCTTAAACCACAAACAATAAACCTCCTAAATCAGATACAACTTTAATTCATGTTTGTCGCTAAATTAATTCATTTGCTGCTGCCTGGATTTTGTGCAGAAAAATCTTTCCAAAATCTATGTAAACCGATACTCAGTACTAGATGGAATGTGGTATGGAACAGGCATAATAAAAAATGAGCTTATACCTACCAATAATTGCGCGACAAACATTTCTTGATATATTCTGATAAATATATTATCTAATACTACGTATTATTATTCGAGAAAGTGTCACGGTATGCTTACTAGGAGCACGACTGGTGAGAACTCCGGATAAAATTGTACTTTCGTCCTATTTTATGGAGGCTACGCCGTCACATGTAGCCTTCCTAAATTATATTTTATGTGTTTTCATTAAAAAAGTTTGGCCTTGTGGTAGTTCGCCAAAGGAAAAAACAATAGAATTTGAAAGCACTAATATTTTGATCATTAATCTAAGTTAATCTACAAAGTGAAGAATATTCGAAGTAATCAAGCGTGGCATTGAATCATACACCAACATATACAAGTAGTTCAACAACTCCACATTCTTGTAAGTAAGAGTCTTGTTCCTTACTTGGTATAAAGATTCATATGATGCCATGAAACCTTGAAATATATATATATATATATATATATACACAAGTGTGATTTTAAATTGGGTAGTTGTAAGATTCTAATAATGGTGAAGATGCTATTGAACAAGAATATATGGTATTGCTAGTGGAGACAACTAAAGGAGTCCAACTTTCACAAATGCAACTCTTTCAACTGCATTGGCATTATTCATATTTCTTGCAAATAATGTAGTGATTGGAGAAAGAATTTTTGGTAGCTAAGCCAAAGTTCATTTTATGAAACTTCCAAAATGACTGAATCTTATACTTATACAGTAAAAGAATAATTAAAAAAAAACACATGCTCCAAAGTTCATTTAATGAAACTTCCCAAATGCCTGAATCTTTATACATATACAGTAAAAGAATAATTAAAAAAAACACATGCTCCAATGGAATAGAGTGGGGCTTGAAGGTACTCCTATAATTTAGTTGCATGAGACAAGATGTACTACCATTTCAAGCCAACTACTAATTTTGATTGTTTATATTTGTATGTATAATGAAATTGGAACTTAGCCGCCCATGTTTTGACTAGATTAAAATCAATTTATTAATAAATTTTAATGAAAGTTGATAAAACGTTTGGTTAAAAAAGTAGTGGGTAATATGAAATGTATTGTTAAAATTAATTAATTATTGACTTTGATTTAAGATTTTTGTCAACTTTTAATCTACGCCAAACAGAGGCTCAGTTCATTTCAAAATTTACGAGTATATATTAAGTGGTTCCTAAACTTTAAAATGCCAATATGGNCGTGGCTTCTATCGTGAATCGGTTAATCAGCAATCCTAGCAGTCTATATTATCTCCATTACGGTGAAAATACAGGAATGCAACTCATTTCAGTGGTTCTCACTGAAGAGAACTATGCTACATGGAGCAGATATGTGATTATGGCATTGAGTGTGAAAAATAAAGGAGTCATTGATGGATCTATTATCAAACCTGCTCTAGATGATCCTATTTATGGCCCTTGGAGAAGATGCAATCATGTAGTATCTTCATGGATTATAAATTCGATTACAAAATAACTATATCCCAGTGTAATGCAGAAAGACTCAGCAAGCTAGATTTGGATTGAGCTTAGAGACCGGTACAATCAAGGAAATGGTCCTCACATCTATAAGCTTAAGAAACAAATTGTCTCGATCTCTCAGGCAAACAACTCTATTAATTCTTACTTTAATAGATTCAATGGGCTTTGGGAAGAACTAGAAAATTATAGACCAGAAACAGGTAGTACAAATTACAAATCTGAAGATCAAACCATGCAGTTTTTGATGGGACTAGATGGGCATTTTTCAAATGTGAGAAGTCAGATCCTAATGATAGATCCAATACCACCACTCAACAAGATGTTTGTTCTAGTTTTGCAAGATGAAAGGCAACGGGAGATTTGACGCAGAACAGAAGTAAAATATTTACCGAGGAAAATCTTGAAAATAAGAAAACTGGAATTCTCCAAGAACGAAACTTGTATACAATTAATAATGATCTCGAAAATATTCAAAAAACTTTTAAATAGGCGTTACAAGAAACCCTAAAAACATATAATAGTAAAACAATCCAAAAATAGCGAAAATTCAAAATGGGAAATATGGAAATTAATTATTCGGAGGCCTAAACAAAGTAATTTGGTTAAAATTCCGAGAGCTTGGGCTATGTCCCGAGTCCAATATTTTGGGCCTTTTCCAATCAACCAGCCAAATTTCAACACATTTCGACACCATCGCGATAAATGACAAAATTGCCCCTGGTGCGGTCTTTTTTCGTCAATTTTTTGTTCAACACTTCTTCAAACTCCAAAACTAGTTGTCCTACATCATTTTGTCAACAAATATTTTCTTACAATCTTGCTACATGTACATCATTGTTTACATCGTGCCACGTGACAGTACACCATTAGACAGTTAAAAGAAAAAAACACTTTTCCCGCCCACAAATTTTTGAAAACAAAGGGAATATAAAAAATAATGTAAAGCAATTTAAAGTGCATATTAGAAGGAAGTCGAAAAATCATTTACTGGCATACACTTTAATTGAAAAAATAATCAATCTTTTGTCGAATTTAGACAAATCGATTATTTTGCTAGCACGAGTGCATGAGCATGTATTTATGCACCTTGTCTAGTGTGCAAGAAACTATAGACGCCCCCTCGTTGTTTCTTAGTTAAGGATATCAAAGTTCAGTATGACGGGTTTTTGTGAGAACCTATCATTGTTTGTGAAGTCACAATAAAGACAAAAGAATTCTCGTTTTGTAGAATTAATGGAGACAACGATAACGGAAAAAAAAAACTTCATTAAGTAATGCTAATAGTGGATAGAAATGCTAGAATTTTGCTTTATGCACAAGAACAATGATTATTACTCTAATTTTCTTAGTAAGAACAATGTGTGAACGAATTTATGAAAGAATAAAATCTAAATTTATTTTTACTTATAAGCCAATTGTACAGCAAAATTTGGGGAGGCAATATTTAATCAAGTTTGGACCCACTGGCATGTGATCGCACATGTGTAGCATAAATAGTGTACAAATGGTGAATACATGTCTCCATCCCAAGTAGCAAAATCCACATGAGAAGTTAAGTTATAACAATATGCTTGTTTTCATCACTATTTTTACCATGACAACTTCTTCGAACCATTGTCGTTACTCGATCATAAAATTAAATTATTTGAAAAAAAAAATTTAATTTACGTTTTATCTCATTTTCAATAAAAGACAAATATGTCCAACCTTGAGTAATCTTGTTCGTTCATGTACGCACATCAACATCACAAATAGACTAGTTAATTAGGTGAGGAAGAGCGAAAAAGTGAATATGGTTGCAAGATGATCTCAAAGGACATGCCGACGTACATTATTTAAGTGGTGGGAAAAAAGGGAAGTTTGAAGACCTGTTTGACATGGGTTTTGAAAAGTCAAAATCTACTTCTGAGATAAAAAGTTATTTTTGAACATGTTTGAATAAATTTTTGGAAGCGTTTTGTTTGATTAAAAGAATTTTTAGAGGAAGTTGGCATAAGATAATTTTCTCGAAAAACTCTTCTACAAAGGAACAAAAATCTTGTCAAATGGTTCCTAAATGTAGTCTCGTACGTCTTTTTTAATAAATATTAATTTTAGAAGAATCTTATTATAAAACCTACTTCCCTATTTTATACGTGTATCATATTTCACATTCTTTTCCTACTTAGCTTCCCACTCTACACTACACATTTGTATCATATGGAACAAAATATCAACTCGAAGTGTCTACCACCTAACTACGCCTCTTCCACCACCATTTCCTCCACCTCGTCCGACGGTTCGACTGTTTCTTCCTCAAACCACTCATTTACTAATGAAAAAGAAACTACAAAGAGCCTAAAAGAATGTAAAAATGGTGGCAATGAGAAGCATAATCCGACTAGTTATCGCGGTGTGAGAAAGCGGAGTTGGGGCAAATGGGTGTCTGAAATTCGAGAGCCGAGGAAGAAATCAAGAATATGGCTCGGAACATATCGCACGGCGGAGATGGCGGCACGAGCTCACGACGTGGCGGCTTTAGCCATTAAAGGCCACTCAGCTCATCTCAATTTCCCTCATTTGGCTCACCAACTTCCGCGCCCCGCTACCACTTCACCTAAAGACATCCAAGCTGCCGCGGCCAAAGCAGCAGCAGCCGCAGTATGTCCCGACCAAATTACAAGCAGCGAATTCAAAGATGAAGCACATGAGCCGCTGCCCAACTCTCATTCTTCAACAAATTTAGAAGCATCCAATTCTTGCTCAACCGTTGATGATAGCGACGCATTTTTCGACCTCCCAGATCTTTGCTTCAATGAAAGAGACCTTAATGTCGGATTCTCTTACTGTGCTTCTTCATGGAAGCTGGCTGAAGCAGTCGCCGATATTGGATTCCGGCTTGATGATCCATTTCCATGGGACTGCTACTGGAAATAACCCCATTCAACAGCCACAGCACATTGGTAATTTCGATAATTCAAAATCAAGAGCAGAACCCCCACCCATCACCCCCACATATATATGTATATTTCTGTATATAATATATATGACGGTGAGGCAGCATTAGTGTTGAAATATAAATATGATAGGGGTAGTAAATAAGTGGAGGAATAAAGAATTCAAGGCAAGGTTTTAATGGAATTAGTCCTTAAATTGCCTAAAACTTATATTATGGTCCATATCATTTTACCTATTTGCACTTTAATTATTGATAGAATGAAATAAAAATTCTTGCTCATTTAAGTGTATTTTTTTCGTCTATTTTAGTATTTTTACAATTTATGTTCAAAAGGGATATTAAATTCGTTGAAAAGTTAAAAATGTTCAATCCTAACTCCAATAAATTGAAGAAAAAAATCAGCTTTTTCACCCTACCTCGACTTACCTCACACCTCCGATTATGATAAAAATCTTATTTTCTTGTAAAATTATAGAAGCATGTCAAATTTTGACCGTGAATACCAAGACATGTTTCTTATGCAATGGAATTCTTGAAATTGTTTACCACTTATTCTTTCGATCAATGCTATGTGTACAATATTGGTTTACAAAATTTGTTGACAAAATGAGTATGTCAAGATCTAGGTCAATGATTTTAAAAATCGTTTTTGGAATCAATGGCCTAAATCTTGCCACGTTCATATTTTGTCAAACAATTTTGTAACTTAATTTTGTACAATTAGATTAATTGCATTCTTTATCATGGTGTCGAATCCTAAGTTTTTTTATGGATTCCTTCTTTGTTAACAAGGTCGACCCAAAAGCCATAAGGCCAAATGGGGTTGCGAATACTTGTGTTTACAGATGAGCAATCCTCAGCTGCAGGCTTAAAAGAAATGTTAAACAAAATGTAAGGTCTCGTTTGGTGTGAATTAAAATTTAGTTATAATCTAATTCAAAGTTCAATTAATTTTAATCACCATGAAACACAACACAACATTTCAATTGCATATTTCATTATGTGAACCCCATGATTTATAAACACTATTATAATTGATAAGTGACCTTTCCAACCATCTCCTTGAAGTCTTTCCTCAATCATTTAGCCACATTGCAATGCTTCATTGGGCAAAGTGGCATATATCTTTTTCAAAGATAAAATTAATTATTTGGGCAGCGTAATATACATGAATGGAAAATACAAAAAAAGAGAGAGAAAAGAATATGGGATCCACACGGCTTTTCGTTATCCTTTTTTTTTTTTTTTATTATTCTTTTGTTTTGTTTTTCTTCTCTGATTTTTTTATTTATCTTTTTATTTTGTTTTTCTTTCTGATTTTTTTCTTTTTCATTTTTTTTAATATTTTAATTAAGAACAATAAAGTTGTCATTTTGCCCTTTTCATTTTCGGAACATGTCAATCATCCATTTGGATGAACAACGCTAATTTTCCAAAAGTTGGAGACGAAAAATAGGTTGATAACAGATTTGATATGAAATTAACACCGTCCAAATTTATTTTATTTGAATTATTGAGTAACAAAAGTTGATATCCTCCCAAGTTTTAGTCCGAGATGATAAAAAATGCCAAGATTCCATACAGTAACATTAAAAACTGTACATATCAAGTCTAATTTTCCACATCAAAGGTATGTTTTGAAGAATCCAATGTCGTCCAAAGGTTGTCCTTATGTCTTGCGCATGTTCACCATTCAAATCCACAAAAGCCCCTGTTTTGACAACCATCATATGAAAAAAAGCAATTTTAAATAGTGACTTTTAATAGAATGTATAGTTAAAAATATGAAAAAATTTTGAATTTATATACAAAATATTTTATTGTATAAATATGTGATCGAAAATAAATATATAGAAAAAAAATTCAAATAATTGTCAAACAAGGGCTTAAGAGAGAATTTTGTTCTTAGCTTGGAAAGTACAATCATGTTATTGGGGGTCGAAACTTCGAAGGCTCGATTATATAGAATAAGAGATAGGAACGTCGCCAAATTTATTAAGCCCCTGTTTGATACCAATTAAAATTAAGATTTTAATCTAGGTCAAAGTCAATAATCCATTTTGACCACATTTTTTTATAAATTTCACAATTTTTTAATTACACATTTTATCAACTTTTATTAAAATCTACTAAAAATCTGATTTTAGTTCACACCAAACAAGGGCTAATTATACGATCCAATCTACTGATTTCTCGGGCGAAACGAAATTAATTCGCGAATAGACATCAGAGAGCTGAGTAGAGAGCAACCGGCCAACTAACTAAATACACATCAATACAAACAATGCCTTAAATACAGGACAATAGACATGCCCAGAATTTTTGATTCGTTACACAGAAAAATGGGTTCCACGTTCTTTGAATAGGACTTTGATTCATTGCTGTCAAGATACAAATGGATACATCACTGGAACGAAGAGGGACCAGTTTTTCCATTGTCATTTGTATATTAACATGGATTCATCATCCCAACCCAGCCCGAGTTAATTCCTTAAAAATGCCAGTTTTTTTAGTATTATTTGAAGAATAATACTAACACCCGTCTAGGTTAAAAGAATCTGATGAATCCAATTAAAATCAAGAAGCAAGCTCGAGATTAAGACGGAAGAACAAATATCCCCATAGATGACCAAAAAATCTAATCACTATCATGTAAAGGGAATATATGTATATATACATATTAAGAATCCTAAGTTACATTTCAATCATCTAATCACACTACAAACAATAAATATTCAAAAACAATCGCAAATAAATCGGTAAGACTGTGGCGCCAAAATCAATTAATGCTCCTTAGTTCTGGAACTTTCCTCCCTCCCTCACACGATGGCCAGAAATGTAAAACGTCTTTCTACGAGTCGAAATTTTTATTAATGAAATGGTCACTCAAAACTTCATGCCTAACACTGCAAAGTAACAAGTTAAAAAGTATCCAAGTGCTCTGAGCAGTAAACATATATACAACAGAAAACACCCAGAGAAATGTGAAACCCAGGCCCTGATTTCTGATGATGGAAGAAGAGCTTTTAGAAATTCCTGCTATGAATCTTTTGGTCTCAGCATATCTAAGTACATAAATACATGTGAACATTGTCCACTAGGTCTACCTGATTTGAAATGCATCTGAGGCAGTGATGCATCACTGCCAGGCTCCAACTCCTGGTTAGATGTATACAGGTTTGACGTCGTTAGGCCCGAAACTTGCTGCACATACTGGGCACTTGCGGTGACGCGTTTCAATGATTCCTTTTACACAAGGATTGCAAAACAGATGGAAGCATTTTGTGATAACCACCTGCAAAGAACACTTGTTAGCTCTAGAAATATGCACGTGAGCGAACCGTTATAGCAGAATTTAAGCTTTTAAGATATGGAAAAAACATTATGAGCAGGTTACCCAAGTGGCCTCCCAACCCCACACAACAAAAGACCTGATCAACTTAGTTGCCCAAGTCAACAAAAGAGGAGGAAAGTGGTGGTAAATGTGTAATTTGAACCTTGGACCCCCTCCCAACTCACAACTCAGCAATGTTGCAAATGCTACTTCTTCTTTCAAGACTCAAAAAGTGGTTGATGGAAGATATAACGAAGATAATTGAAGACATACCTCTTTTCTCCTATCATGGCAAACACTGCACTTGAGTATTTCCTTGTATTCTCCGAGTTCCTGCTTAAGCTTTTCAGCTTCAGATGAGCCGTCAGCATGTGACTTCAATTGTTCAGCCTTCCTCCTCATGGTTTCTAGATCTGCCTCAACTCTCTTTCTCTCAAATCTAGTAAGGAGAAAAGTTTAAGAAAGATAAAAACAAACCAAAAACAAAGAAAAATAAAAAGCATCTCCATATAACTGGAAAAATGCAATATAGATTCCAACTTTCTTTCTCTAGTTTTATGTAAAATGGTAAAATATAACGGAAATTCCAACCACCTCTCTTTCTCTAGCTCTATCTGCAGCTCGGCAAGATCCAGTCGACCCCTGTCAACCTTGGCCTGTGCTTCCTCAAGAGTTTCTATCAGTTGCTGAGAGGACTTTTTCACATCTAACTGTCTCTTTTGGTTATTTTCGAAAGTAGCCATCATTTGGACCCTATCTTCTGTGAGTCTCTGAATTTGATCCGAGTAGCTTTTCAACTGCAAAAAATATTACCAATGACGAGTTCTAAATACATATAACAATAATAATTTTGATTAAACTAAGCAGTGTACCAAAAATTTTATTTAATTGAGAGACTCGAATTACCTGATCTTCAATTCCAGCTACTTTTGTTTCAAGAAAATCAACAGATGTCTTGGTTCGTTGTATGGCTCTCTCTAGGGAACGCTTCTCCACAAGTAGATTATCTCTCATCTGCCTTGAATGCACACCTTCAAAAACAAGCTGCAACAGTAATACCGATTAGATGATACACCGAAATAAAATCCATTAAAAGCTAAAATCTATTTGTGTTTCCTATTTCATGGGTGAGGAGTTGGGGGGATTAATCAAGCAAAGATTGTTGCATTGCTTATACACAGCAAATGCGGCAGCGAGTCCACAAAACCTTGACAAGGATTCTTCTCTCACACATTAACATTTACAAAAAAAGGACACTTTATTTGAAATGAGGACTTAGTGAGGAAAATAAGTGCAAATACCACGTCAAAAACTTTTCCATGAGAGACAAAATAGTAAGCAAAAGCTACTTTGGGAAACTCTCAAAACACTTCTATAGTTTGAAAGGAAACAAGTAGCCGCATAGAAGATCAGGAGAAGTGCGAAAACGCAACGAAATTACGTAGTCCACTTAAATCTCTCTGTTTTTATTGCATTTTAAATTTGTCTTCTTCTCTGTTTGCAAATGAAAGCCACTTGGAAAATCATTTTCCAAACCGTTTCACTTGGACAACTAAACAAGCTTGGGATTTCAACTTTCTTGGAAGCAATTTCTTTACCTGCTATCTTCAAAATCCAAATCGGGGATTGATGAATTTTGACGAGAATGTTAATACAAGGTTGGCACCATGAGAGAGGCCAGCTGAAAGGAAAGACCTCCCAGGCCATATGCCCGTGGGTGCTAGAGTTTTCAAAAAAGAGTAGGCTGACTCGAAGACCTGAGACCTTAGCTTAGAAATGAATAAAGGGAAGCTCGAAGAGCTTTCTCCTCGGAGCTTTACAGGTACTACGCAGCCCAGAAAGATAAAAACAATATACAAGGACTCTGGTCCACTTTCACTTAAAAGAGCCACCAGGCAAGCTGAACAACAATATATGCCACTGTTTGAGCCTCATTCTCTAAAAACTCATTTTCCCCCAAACTCATTCCAATCACACATTATTCCAATAAAATAATTTCGCACGTAAACCAAAAGTTTTTCCTACTTTTTAACCACGCATTCTCCAAAAAAATCACTATTAGAAAACTCATTTTTCACAAAAAAAAAAAAAAATGGGGCTCAAACAGAGCCTATATTTGTTTGAATTGTGGTCCTTCTCCAAACAAGAAAAGATGCAATTTTGTGTAGCTAGGTTAAAAATGCAGAAATTCATGTCACCTAAGTTTTATGACTATGCCAGCAATAACATAGCTGTATTTTCAGCCTGACCAAAACCAAATTAAAAAAATAAATATCTATTCTTGATCTCTAATATCAAGGTGCAGATTATGACCATGTAACAAGAAGTTTGAGATGATAATCAAGCATAAACTTAATGGTAAAAATAAAACAAGATTTCTCAATAATAACTGGCAAGACCAGGTAACAAGTTAAGAAGTATGAGATAATAAACAAGCATAAACTTAATGGTAAAAAGAAAACAAGATTTCTCAATAATAACTGGCGGAAACAAAGCACTCTGTAAGCTATTGGACATTATCCAGTATCAACAGACATAAGAAATAACTTAAGGTAACAGTCAGGAGGAGGTGTCATCTATAAACTGCTGTGTGGATATTGTTGCATGCATAAACTCCCAGCAGCTGAAAGGAGTTTGAAAAGAAAAACCATATAAACAGATCCTAAAGCACAAGATCAACAGTTTGACAATACAAATCATGGATCTTAGTTACATCATAACTCTAGGTTATGTATGCACAGATATGGACATAGACATGGCAACATGAGTAGCACATGACATGACAGTCACACAGTATGACAATTCTTGAATGAAAAAAAAGACATGGAACAACTACGACATGCAAATGATAAACATATAAAACAATCTGTAATGAACTACCTAGTATATTGCACGTTCAGTTACTGATATTGAGCAATTACTGAGTCCATTGTGATGGGAATGAAGTAGTCAATATATATCAAGCACAAAATTAAGTGGGTTCATGTCATAAGATTTGGAAAGGTTCTACGAAAACTGTCAACCTACTACAAACCTTCTCCATCACCTGGGCTTGGGACAGGCAATGAAAAATAACAGAGGTCAATAAGTACAAACTTAGTGAATCAACATGCGTACTCCAGAAAAAGTGCAAAATTAACAAGTGAAATCAACAGCACGAGATGAAATTGCAATAAGCAAGTTTTCTACATTGCAACCCATGTCTAGCCTAAGTTGTCCAACATGTCCGGTATGTGATATATGTAATGACCTGCAAGTCCAAATATTTCACTTGTTTACTATACTAATTAACCGGACAGGTTTTGACATTTAGGAAACTTTAAGAGGTGTCTTCAATGTTTGTTGCCAATCCATTAATCAAAATGGGAGAAAAAGATGATGAAAAAATCATATAAAAATTACTTTAAGATCAAACAAATTGAAGTTGGAAGATTTCCATTTTTTTTTAAATCCGGCTTATTGCCTACCTTCATGTTATAGTCATCCCTTTCACTAATTTGTTGCAAAAGCTTTTGGTTTTGAGTCTGCATATCATCATATGCCTGTCCAATGGTCTGTTGGAACAAGAAGTTTAGGCAAATTTGAGAAATTTAAACAAGGAGTCATCCATCTGAAAAAAGTTTCATAGAAAAGAAACCTCAATCTCTGAAAGATAGGCCTCTGTTTCCTCATGTTTGGAGTTTAGGACATCAGAAAGCTTGGATTTCTCCCTGAAATATTCACAGATAAACAATCATTCAGTATACTCAGAAGGCAACAGAAGCAACTTAGACCTGCTAAAGTGAATATTTTACAGATAGACATCATATGCATGTTTTCAGTAATTATTCTTTTTCATGTAACTCTAGTCAGCTTTCATACACTGTCAATGCTAGAAGAGAACACGTCTGTGTTAAATCTCAGACACAGACCCACACTTGGCACGGCTTCAACGTTATCAGATACACCCATGATAAAAATCAAACAAGATTTGGATACAAGCAATAGAAATGAACAACTACTTTTAGGAAAATATGTACTTACGGACTTAAAAGTTGTGGGATCAAAAGAAATATCAGAACTTAATATTGTAAGCTACAATACAAACTAGTGTGCTGCAATTTATGACGCTAGCCACTTAAAACAAAATGCCAAGGGTCAAATGCTTTTTGAATTTTTATTTTATTCTTGAAAAACAAAAATATATGTTCGTGGCAGAGAGCCAATTGTTGCTCTCAGCAGCAAATCTTGGGGCTCCGCAAAAGTCTAAACTCTCAGCGGGAGTCAGAATTTTACAGTGTCCTAACTCAAGCTCTCTGCATGCTCTTTTATTTTAAAATGACGACACAGCCCATGAGATATCCCCTACTGGGCAGGGTTTTTCATGTTCCAGGCAGCCTGGCACTTTTTTACACCTTTACAATTCACTTTCAACTTTCTCTCAACACTGGTCTCTCTCTATCTTTCTTCTCAGCACTTAGCCACCAGTTTTTACTATTGTTGGATATAATCCCCTCTACCATCAACTAGATTCACCCTGACTTCCATTTCCATTGACACTTCAAAGTTCCTCAAATTGATCGCCAAAACCCTAAAATCCTAAATTACGTCATTTATCAGTTGACAAAAGATGCATACGAAATACTCCATGTCAGCACATGATCAACAATTCATTCTCCATCCCACCCACCCCATATTGCAACTTCCAGTTTCTCATCAAAATCATCCCCTGATAACATGACTCCCAACTCTCTCTCTCTCTCTATGTCAATTCTCATCTTATTTGTTAAGGCCTTTTTCTTCTCTCCTTTTTAGAGATGCATAATCCGATTGTGTTGGGAGTTTATGGTCGTTACTGCCGTGCTCCTTCAACTTAGGTCTACATCCAATGAAATTGCATCCCAGCCATTTCAGTCTTTCAAAATTTTGTGTCCATGAAACACAGAAAGCAAGCATCATATAGGAACAAAAAGATCATCAAAATCTTAGATACACATTCTTGAGTACCAGAAATCGAACCTCAAATTAAAGCATGTGATATGAAATGGTAAAACCTATCCAGATGAATTTAAAAATCAGTTATTTCTCCAACATCCAGTAATTAGAAAATATAAACTCTTACGGAGCGATTGAACCTTGTCAATTCTTTATCAGAATTACCCCAGAAAATGCCACAATTATTCAAGCATTCATAACCCATAGGAAAGAGAATTAAGAGAAAAGGGAAGCATACAGATGGAAAAGCAGCAAAAGCAGCCAAAGATGGCAAAACCGGAGACGGAAACACAACCTTAAATCAAGTCTAAATTTCAACTGATGGAAAGTACAGTATGCTAAAGTATTAGACAAACATCAGCAAAATATGGAACAGACCTTTTAGTGGCCACTAACTTCCGTCTCAGGTCAGCAATCTCAGCTTCTCCAGTGGCTAACCTTTGCTGGGCTTTTGCCTCAGCTTCAATGGCAGCTTTAACTCGCCCTTCCAAATTGTGTTCATCCAGAGAATTCTTCAGGCTCTGAACATGAACCCAAGCCTTGATCTCAGAACTTCTGGCTTCACCAACTTCCCTACATTCAACACAACAAGGTTAGAAAGCACTTGGCTTCAAGATAGTTGATTCAGAAAATTTTGGTTCGAAAAAACTAACACACATCTGGAAAGATCTCACAACTCAAAATTAGCTATGATGACAAAGTGGTCATAGTTTGAAAAAACGTAAACGGGTACCGAGGCGTTTTTTTGTAATGAGGCGAGGCGTAAGCCTCACCACAAACAAAACAAGTGCAATCTGCCGAACAAAATAGGTGCAATCTGGTGGCGATGCACTGAACAANACTTTTGAGATTATAGGAAGAAATGTTAACAAATTTATAGAAGCAATATGTTTATTGTTACCAAATTTCCATTTGAAAATGTGTGGAAATGATAAATTGCCAACAATTTGGTTAAAGAATGTGTATATAGAATTATACATCAAGATCTGGATAGAATTCCATATTAAGCTACTCTGATAACTATAAGGGTCCGTTTGATTGCAATGGTGAAAAATGAGTGGAAAGAAAATGAATTTTAGATAAAGTAATTGTCTAAAAATTGTTTTTCAGGGAATTGTTAATTAAATGTGTTTGATTAGTATAATTTTTCACCCGAAAATTTTTAAACTTTTGTGTTCATTTGAATTTGTTTTACAAAGAAATTGTCCATTAAAGTGATAATATTTTCTACCATTGGGTCTATAACTTGTTCCAATTACAAAAAAAAGAAAAATAATAATAATAATAATTTTATCATGCAATTCCATTTATGTTATGCTGGACAAAAATTCCAAAATCCCAGTTATATTATAAAAATTACTGCTATCAATTGTACTGTCATTACCACCCCATGTCACACAATTCACAAATCAACACCAAGAGGGAAGCTCCAAATAAACCAATTAAAGGTATAATAAATGAAGGATAAGGACACGACGAACACATGCCAACACATAATTTTCAACAAAGCACTAACTTCAAGTACAAGATAATTTATATTCTTTAAAACTATAAAATTAAATATTATTTTTATGCTATTATTTTTCAATGTGACAAACACTTCTTTTAGCTTTAATTTTGAGTTTTGCAGGGTGAAATATTTTGAATTAGAAGTTGTAAGAGGACTTCGGGTTCTATTATTAATTTACCAGTGACGAAAGAAAAAATGCATATAGTTCATAGATTTCCCACATTATATGATTTTTCCGACTCAAATTTTATAATAATATAACTTTTCCAACTTTACATTCAATAATTTATAAAATGGGACTCATGTCCTCGTCATAACCCGGAAATGTCCCTTGCATGTAAGAAATCAAAAAAAAAAAAAGTATATGAATAATATAGGACACACAAGAAGTATGTCAAACCCCTGGCGAAAGAATGTCAAGTCTCCCTCATGTCAGGTATTAATAAATATATACACGTAGAAGTTAGGAACGTGTGCCAGATTGTTGCAGTCCAGTAAGTATCGCAACGTGACACTCCTTTTCTATGATAAGTGTTGGTTCTTCAGTGTAAAATCATCATGAAATGAAATTTTTATCTAATAATTTTAGCTTTCCACTATGCTTCCTGATCACCAGTAAACAATTCCAGTGATTGAGTGCAATTTTTTAATAGGGTAAAAGATGGGATGTGGTCTACTAATCAAAATGGGAAAGTAGAGACTACAGCTAAAGTGAAAAAACAATAAATAGCAGGAATGTTTCAGACTGTAATATGATGGTTGCAGCACTAGAAAAATAGGAATTCCTCTATGATTAATACTGAAATAAGTGTGCTCCTACAACCAGAAGCAGTTTAAGAACAGAAGAAACCAAAAGTGAATTGAATATGATGAGAACAAAACCCTTTTAAGAAAATGCTAACCTTGAATCAGTTGATTCACGTCTATACATTTCCAAAAAAAGCTTCATGTCAGAATCAGCTTCCTTCAAATCATGGACCTACACCAAGAAATCAAAGTTACAAAACATTTGAATTAAAATAGTCCTCATTTTAAATGTTGATTTGCAGAAACCTTGTTGTCCACGTCAAAAGATAGAACTGGGCTAAAAGGATGTGTGCAAGCCATTACAATTGTTTCAGAGCGACAACCACAAATCATGAAATGAGAATCTGGCAGATCATCTTACAGTATGCCTAGATAATGCATCAGACTGCTATATATGTTGTCTATTTACATTACTTATGAATTGATCAAAGTGAGTTTCTGCCATAAATGTTAGGTGACATACAACAGATATTCTCCAACAGAACCAAGGCTCATAAACCCTTCTTTTCATTCCATTAAATGGCACTGTTAGGTAATTTTTTTTGGGTCAAGAGCAGCAACTACAAATCATATAAAAGAGTAACATTCTTTTTTGCACCTTAGGTCAAGAAAAAGGATTGCTTGACAAGTAAACTTAATGTAACATGAGACATGTCTCCATATGCTTATGTCATAGAAGGCAAAAATCATACCACAGCTTGTAATTTCTGTATTTCAGCATTTTGCTCAGCAGATCTGGAGGATAATGAGTCCAATTCCCTAGCCTATACATATTTAAGGAATGGTTTTAACCAGCATGACAGATAATTTAGACAAAAATGACCGCAAGTATAACAAATCCCACCTTGCCATCAAGAATGTTGATAAGCGATTGGACATCAGCACACAAACAATGAATATATGAAGCAGTCTCCTTGTGTTGAACTAACTGATTCTGCATGTTACCCATTTTCTCAGGAAATGAAGAAACTAAAGCTTTGAACTCCGCAATGATTTCTTTCCTGCCTGAGGTTAATAAAATCAATATATCTGTGTGACGCTTAGACAGAGAAGCAACAAGGAGCCATGAGATATGAGGGAATACCAGGTTCTCTAGACGCCTCTACCAGCTTGGCTTCAATTAGCCTTTTTTCTTCAATGCATGTTTTAATCTCTGTTTCCAGATCAGATATCCTAGACTCGGCAAAAGATCAGATTATCTAGACTTGGCCACCATCGAAGATTGACATAAAACATCAACCTATTCTTTTTTCATGTGAATTTCTTTTTCCCGCCAAGCAAGACTGTCCTTCTGAACCTGAATTAAGTTGATGAGTCAACACAGAGACTAAATACTGTTCAAAAACCAAATATGAAGTTAAAATCGAAACTACCAAGCAGTAACAACCTGTAGTTTCTCATAAAGCGCTTGATATCGAACTACATCGGCTTTAGACTTTGCAAGTTGATCTTTTAGCAGAAGATATGCTCGGGAGGAACAAACACATTTGACATTCTTCAGATTGTTCTGTCAAACAAAAACCAATTTATATATACTAGTAAAAGAAAGTAGTGAGTAAAAACATAATCAGAAAACACCACATAAGACGAACAACAATCTAACCATGAGAAAGCAAGAAAAAAAATTAACCTGCAAATTTGATAACTGCCTCAATATCTTTATCCTATCTTCATGAAGACGTCTGAGTTCCCGTAGTCGGGAAGAGGATTGGTTCTGCACAAGTATGCAAATTAGATTAGACCATTTTACAAGTGGAAACACAATCCATATGAGCTAGAGGAAACAGAGTGCAGGTGAATACCAATAACTCCTTGAGTGTTGACTCCGTCTGTTGCAAATCATCTTGTTTGTCTCTGGTATCATCACTCATGACGTGCTTGTTTCGTTGATTCAGGACGGGGAAAGATGCTCCTTTTGCCAAATCTCTCTCCACTTTTAGGATTGCCAAATTATGGTTGCTTTCTTCCAATTCCAAAATCGAATTCTCCAACTCTCCTTTATATGTACAACCAAAATATGTCAGTTACAGTACCTCTCAATAGGACATTTCGAGCATACATTAAGCTTACCAAATAATTTGAAGATCATGCAAAAAGGAGAACACGGGGTCAGCACATTTTAAAGAAAAATTATTTTGAAAAAACCCTCAAACAGACAGTATTGTTTCTGAGAAAAAGCAACAACGCTTCTAGTGAAATGAATACAAAGATGTAACGTAGTTCGTTCACCACTACAAGATCAAGGAAGTTGATGTATAGATGACATCAAAAGCAGACTTCAAAGTAAGCCCCCAAGTCCCCTCTTGTTATTTTTAAATATTAAATTTGGCGGTGTCCTTCCTGATTTTCCAGCAGATATAATGGATTATATATATATAAGATAAAGACTGTTGCACGACTAAGCCATATTCAAAAAAATTAGGGGTCTGCTACATGAAATATTTTTTACGACTCCAAATGAAATGAAAAAGGGAAACTTGAAAATAGTCCTCTAAAAAATAGGAGCAAGAAAATCTTGAGTATGATTCTTCAAATCATTCAATAGCACCGAGCAAGTGACATTACTAGATTCCATGTAGTGCTCCATAAGTTCAGTTATAAAAGCATAGAAACAGCTAAGAAGGTTCAGAGCATGCATACAGGATGCATGTTGCGGCAAAAGACTATTGGCAACTAAATGCTAATGCTACTTGAAAATTTTGTACATGTTTTTTTTTTTGGTTGATACAGAGAAATCGTTTACATTTTATCTCTTCAAAAACTGCAAAAAATATCGAAACGGACAAGTGTAACAAAGGAGAAACGCCAGACTGTCGAGAGAAAGATAACAAGAGCCAGTTTACTCAAGCTCTTTAATGACCTAGCCTTCAGAATTCCTCAAGCTCAGCTGATTCTTCTTTCTTAAGTAAAGTTCAATATTCAATTTTTGACCTCTGAACAATTTGGTAAAACGATTTGAATTAATAAAAAGCATGCTTCGAAAAGAACTTGTATGAAGGTTGAAAAAGACAGCTTGCATGTGCTTCGAAATCAACTAGGTAAATACTCCTATCCAAGTGTTCAACCTACTTCAAGAGTTGTTACATCTTTAGCAGTGCAAATACAATCAAAGAGAGATAAGCAGGCAACAAGACAGAGATTAAAAGAGATTAATATATATATATATATATATATATATAAAAAGAGGTAGATATTATACTCGAGCAACTTCAGTACTTCACAAAAACAAATAAGCAATCATCATCACATAAACAATTTCAAGAAAGCAAATGCACCCAAAAAATTTCTTGAAACCAAATATACACACATTGATGAAGATTCACTCTGAGCAATATCTACTTCCAACAGCACGGATTGACAACCGACTTCCACTTTCTATGCAAGATAACTGACAGCCCGTCTTCTAAAATCAATGGCATAAAAGAAAATACCTCTAACTCTTTCAAATGGATACAAATACAAGTGTAGATAAAATAATTACACTAACTACTCAAAAGCGTTGAAACCTGGAACCTAGTAAAATTTTAGCTGAGTACTTAGCCCCATGTAGCTTGAGGCTTGAGCTGAAAGATATTAGTCAAAGACGTTGAAGAGAATTGTGCACTAAAAGAACACCAATATGCTTAGCTGTAACAAAATGAAGTGGTATACACCTATAAAGGTAAAGATTTCAGTCAAAATAACCAATTACCTTTCAAACATTTAAGATCGGCTTTATTCTTTGTGTCAGTGTCTCGATGGCCATGAAATTCAGCGGCCAGTGATTTGTGCTTCGAGTGAATACTTCCCACTGCCAGTCTCAGATTCTTAACTTCCGCCTGCAAATCACACGGTAACCCCTGCTGGCCCCATCCTACGACAGGAGAATAGAAAGGAAAGAAAATGACAACAGAAAAATGAAGCAATCAAAGATATGCACCTAGAATGATGATAAGAAATTGGTGATCTACATTCAAAAGCTTCAAAGCTGTACGGATGTTCCTTGTATGGTCTTACCATAAGACGGAAGCACGTTCAAACATGCAGTAGACAAGCTACTCTTCAGATTACCCAAATCCTCACATGCGTTGACTATCTTGTGCAATATGCTCTTTGTCTTTTCACCATCAATTTGTCTATCATCTTCAGTCAGATCTGTGGTTGTGCCAGCTGAGCTGCTTTCAGTTGCGCCTGTTTCCAAGAGGCGGCCTAAAAAAGCTTTCTCAGGAGGTGAATCACCATCTAAGAAGCAAATTATATAACTTCATAAGCAAACACGATTTTCATACATCTACAGTTCACCGATCAACTTAACGTAGTTCAAAATGAAAAAATGCAGGGGAGTCATCCCTTTCACAAGTTGCCATGTACTCAATTAAACAGTTTTTGAAGTTAAATAACCAGGAATGTCATGGTAGTAGCATTCCCACTGCAGAACTATACCAGAGAAGATAATATTAGAGAGGAACTTACAAAAAGACATAATCAATGTGATTTAGAAGATTGGAAGAAACATAAAACACAAAATTTCGGTAGATAGATAGATAGATAGATAGAGAGATAGAGAGAGAGAGAGAGAGACTTAAGATTCTAAATGTATGCAATAAGAAATTCCCAAAAACAGTTGAAAAACACTACTCTTGCAGAAAAAGATGCTTGCTGCTGCAAACATCTAAAAACAATTCTTGACATATAATTGCCCGTAGACAGGGCAATAAAGGATTTCCAATTATGGTGTTGGCTACTATAAAAAAATCCCAAAGAGTGCATCAATTTTACCCGAGATATTTGTCGCTTTCTCAAGTAATTCAAAAGTCCAAACGAGGACAAAACATTAATAGACAAACTGGTGACAAATACAAAGGGATGTTAACGGGGCGGGGCGGGGCGAGGGTAAGAAAGTCCCAGCCTCGTCCCGCCATGTTACCCGTTTAAGGCGGGGTCGGGGCGGGGGCCCCGTTTAAATTTTTTTTTTTCTTTGATAATTTATTTTTATTGCCCATATTCATTAGACTTAGACAAATAATTTTAATTGCTATTTTCTATTAGAACTAATGAAATTTCTTGAAATTTTTCATTTAAAGTATTGAATTCTTATAAAAAATTCCGCGCCCCGTCCGCGCCCCCGCCCTGAATACCCGATTAAGAGGGTTATCCTCGCCCCGTTCAGGGCTGGGCACCGCAAGTATTGGGTTTGTCGAGTTTTTTTGTCATCCCTACGAATATATTTCAAATAATGAAGAGATGTGAAGAAGAATCTCAACACTCTCTACGGTTTCGTTTTCAGTTTTAGTTAATGGCAACCCCGAAGGTTACTTCCGGAGTAGTAGAGGTTTGAGGCAAGGTGATCCGCTGTCACCCTTGTTGTTTGTTATTGTGATGGAGGCATTCAGTAGAATGATTGAGAAAGCTGTGACGGAGGGTTTGTTAAGAGGTTTTGAAGTTGGTCATCTACAGGTCTCCCATTTGTTATTTACAGACGACACACTGATATTTTGTGATGCAGACGTTATGCAAATTAGGAATTTGCGCCGCTTGCTTCTGTGTTTTGAAGCAGTCTCTGGTTTGAGGGCAAATCTGGGGAAATCGGAGGTTATTCCAGTGGGGGAGGTTGCTAATGTGGAGGAATTAGCGGCCATACTCGAATGCAGAGTTGCACAATTGCCTATGTCATATCTTGGGCTTCCGTTAGGTGCGAGGTTTAAAAGTAAACATATCTGGAATGATATTCTTGAAAGGGTGAGGAGGAGGTTAGCGGGGTGGAAGCGTATTTATCTGTCAAAAGGAGGCCGACTTACTCTCATCAAATCCACGCTTTCTAATCTTCCAACCTATTTTCTATCTTTGTTTCCTATTCCCGTCGCAGTGGCAAATAGTTTGGAGAAGTTGCAGAGGGATTTTCTTTGGGCAGGGTTGGGGGAAGAGAGGAAGTTTCATTTGGTCAAATGGGGTGATGTTTGTTCCCCTGTTAGAGTGGGGGGTCTTGGATTGAGGAGCCTTGTTTTATTTAACAAGGCATTGATGGGCAAGTGGTTGTGGCGATTTGGTATGGAGAGGGAGAGCTTCTGGAGAGAAATTATTGGGGTGAAGTATGGTATTTTGGAGGGAGGGTGGCGTTCAGGTGAGGGTCGTGGTTCTTATGGGATGAGCTTGTGGAAGTTTATCAGGAAAGGATGGAGCGAGTTTCAGAATAGATTGGCTTTTGCGGTGGGGACCGGGACGAATATCAGATTTTGGGATGATTGTTGGTGTGGAGATCAAACATTAAAAGTGCGGTTTCCTTCCTTACATCGCATTGCCTTGGAGCCCTCAGCCATGGTGAGTGATGCTCTGGCTATATCCAATGGGAGTCCTAGCTGGAACATTGCTTTCGGGAGGGGCTTACATGATTGGGAACTGGATGACTATGCATTATTTTTGGCCTCTCTGTATGATGTGCACATTCGAGTGGGAGAGGAAGATTGTAGCAGGTGGAGGGCGGCACAGAATGGTTTGTTTTCTGTTCGTACTTATTTCAGATCCTTATTGGAACCTGTTGAGAGCTCATTCCCGTGGCAAAGGGTCTGGCAAAGTAAATTACCTCCAAGGGTGGCTTTTTTACTGTGGACGGTTGTGAGGGGACAGGTGTTAACGGCGGATAATCTTAGAAGAAAGGGTTATTGTCTTACGGAGTGGTGCTATATGTGTAAGAGGGATGGCGAGACGATCGATCATTTGTTCATTCATTGTGCCGGTGTTCGGTGGATGTGGAATGATATTCTGGCCTCGCAACATATGAGTTGGGTGTTGCCAAGGCGTATCAAGGAGGTGGTGTGGGCATGGAAGAGAAAGTTTCGAGATAAGAATAGCAAGCTCGTTTGGGATCTCATTCCAGGATGCATTGTTTGGTGTGTGTGGAGAGAACGAAATGGCAGATACTTTGAAGACCAAGTACGGACGACAGAGCAATTTAGAGAATTGTTTTATTTGACTTTGTATAGTTTGTTTAATGCTATAACCATTAGTCCGATAGAAGGGTTGCCGAATTTTTTATCATTTCTATCTTGTTTAAACTGATAATGCACTCCTTGTGTATTACCGTTTGAGTTTTTATAAAATTACGTGATTACCTATAAAAAAAAAAAAGAATCTCAACAAATTTCCTGGCCCGAGAGAGGGATCAATTATGGGAATCAATATAAACCAAGCACAGGCTTATTTAAAACTAATTGCACTTAACTAAAAGTTCAGAAACACATCTTGAATGTTGTTTAAACATAACATGCTCAAAAGAAATTAATCGAAAACTCATGGAAACTCTAATCATTAGTAGAAATCAATCAATAGGAAAAATGAAGATATAGCATGCCATGTGTATCATACCAAGAAACATCCACCAGATTGATCTTATTTGATAATACCAAACTCAGGTTTTAAGAGTTAAAACTCAGATCTAGCGACATCTTGAAGTAAAAATACAAAGCAAAGTAGAAGAAATAAACGGAGAAGACGAAATAGGTCCTGACGAATAAAACAGAGATAAGTGCATGATATAATTGATTTCTTGTTGAGTTTGCTGAACCTTGAATGAACACGTGGCTGTGACAAGGGAAAACTATTAAATATTGGTAACTGGTCAAAATCGTACTATGCAAAAATGTCAATATGCCACATATCAGCAAATTGGGTGAATATATGAGAGTTTATAAATTACCATACATAGAATGTGTTTCGAAAATGAAAATGTGCCTTTACTTGATTGGATTAAAACTACTTTATCGTTGTTAAGAGAGATTAAGCGTAAACAGAAAACAAAGGGGGAAGATCCTGTGTAAGTCAAGGCATCTCTCACCATCTATGACAATTTGTTGTTCAGAACCTCGTCCACTCGTCATCAAGTCTTTTATGTGACTAGATCGTGATTCCAAGTCATCAACCAGCTGGAATAAAAGTGGAACCAAAATCACAATCATTACAGACCAGAACTTCAAGCACGTGGTAGTTATTATATATATACACAGTTATACACACACACACACACACACACACATATATACATATATACACAAGTAAAATTAATGAAAAAATATGTAACATCAAAAGTTAATACCTCTTCCCATGAATTATTAACCACAGCCAAAGTCTTCGCATGTGACTTTTGTTTCTCCTTCAATTGACATAATTTGGAATGCAGAGCATGAAATTCGACCTTTTGAGCTTCTAACTTCTGGGTCAGTTTCTGATTTTGAAATTGAAGTACTGCTGCATTGAGCTACAGCAACAGAAAATTTAAATTTTAAGGAAATGCTGTAACAGCTAATTCAACTAAAATAGGAAAAGACCAAATTTAGCCTAGGTAATACTTTCATGTGAACAAACGTCGGAAGTGATAAAGGGCCACTGTTTGATAGTAAGTTTACAGCTATACCAAGTGGGCAAATCCTTCCAGAAAAAATTTCTTCCCTTTGTAGAGCAAATATGTTTACCGCATATTAATTGCTTGTCAATTAGCATTAAAACCCAATAACAAGTGAATATGTAAAAGCGTCCTGAAATTTGGTATACTAGCAGCTCATCTTAATGAATTATAATTATACATACAAGGCATCCAAATAGGAGAAATTTGTCAAATTCGTGTGAAGATTAACATAATTACTGTCTTCAGAAATCATTTGAATAGAACTCAAGAAAACGATGTAGTTCCATTCGCCATCATATAGTGATTCATTCATCGAACCTTCTGAAATATGTTTTACTTGTAGTATATGTCTATTTAAGGAAAATCATGTCACTTTGAAATGATCAAAGCTGTAACACAAAAATACCTACTTGGGTACCACATCTGTGCACTAAATAACATTTTTGGTGAAAAATAGTCAAACGGGAGCTTCACAAAGAAGCAGTATACGTAAAGAAACCAAAATATATCACCAATCTGTGCCAGTGAACCCAAATTGCCAAATTCAATCCAAAAGTGTCTATGTAAGTCGAGATGGATTAAGTGCTTGTTTGGTAAAGCTGTTGTTTTTTTAAAAAGCCGTCAAACTTCATTTAAATCACACATTTCATTGGACCACAACTTTTATTCACTTTTTCATGACACATCTCATGGGACCCACCAGCTTTTAGCAAGTTTTAGCAACATCACAAAGTCCCTAAATGAGTTGAAAGAATTAAAACAAAATGAAGACTCTTTATCCTCCATATTAAGCAGTGAAATACATCAAAATTATCTTTGAAGCTCCAGTTTATATTCAGAACAATCCTCATTTTTAGGTAATACAAACCTGTGCACTTGGTAATCAGCCAAACTGACTATAGAGTTAAAAATATTTTTTGTCCCTTTTCCTGTCCTGGGGGAGGAGTGTGCTTTGCTTTTTTGTAATTTTTAATACAGAGAAAGAAAACATAAACTAGAAAAAAATAATATATTCGGAAATAAAATCAAACAAAAGGGGTGCTCAAAAGAAAAGAACGAAAGGCTAAAAAATAAAAAGAAGAAACAGAGAGAACCGGTTGTTAAAAGATTACGACTGCCAAAATAAAAACATAAAAAAAAAAAAAAAAAAAACAATGTCCATAAGCATAATAATGAGGAAAGATTATCAAAAACCATGGCGACATAATGCCATGAATGCACTCTCTAAACGATGTTTTAGCCACTCTCTAAACAGGTTGTTAAAATATTATTACGGCCAAAACAAAACAATGTCCATAAGCATGGTAATGAGGAAAGATTATCAAAAACCATGGCCACATAATGCCATGAATGCACTCTCTAAATGATGTTTTAGCCACCATTTGGCAAATTTATAAATGATTTAGTAAGAAGAATAGTAGTGAGTCCCACGAAATGTAGTAGTTATGGATACGTGTTTAAAATTAATGCTTGACTTCAACTTAATTTATATACCAATTATAAATTTCTTTTCAAACGGAGGCTTGTACAAAGTTAGCCAATTCATTTTTTGATATTTATAATCACAGCTTATATGGATCCTTGTTGAAGCCAGTGATATGATGATATCAACTCGTGTGCTGCTAATGTATAAAATCTTCTATGGCACGTATCTGATGATGCCAACTAGCTCACCCGCTAGCGTGTCAACAATTTCAGTCAAACTCTTAAAAGATGAAATATGTTACTAAACAGTAAAGATGAAAAGTACAATAAGTAAATATATCACCAAATTAGTACTAGGCTATGATTGGTATGATTTCCGGAAAGGATAAAGTGGTGATAATGAATGCAAGAATTAATAAATGTAAGAATAATTATATTACAAGACAAAAGGGCTCAAGGAAACGCATGTCCACTCTCTGCAAATATTTTTTGATTGAAACCGCAGTTGCTAAACCAGAATACACACGGGTAAGAGTGTTGGAAGAGTGCGTATCGTGACTGGCAAAGTTTGGAAATTATAAATGTTCTCTGAAGGAAGTAGATAGACACAACAGCATGCTAAAGAGGCCAAATGGAGTAAAATGTCACGTATCAGACTATCAGGTAACATCCCAGGTTAAGTAGATTCTCAGCATTCTCAGACCCAGCTCAGCGGTAAGATAGACCTGCTCATGATCCAACATTAAAAGCAACAGGGCACATTACCAAGTTCAACACATGCAAAACAGTTGAGAACCCCTAAGTCAAGCATAAACAGAGAGTTCAATCTCTGCATGGCTTAAAGCAGCTCCACTTCTCCTATTAAGAATTTCTTCTCAATAGTTCTAAAATTCTGAGGATAAAAATGGAAGTCCGTATCTGGTTTCTATTATAAAGTTCTAGTTCTCCATAAATCTCACTTCTGAAAACTGTATCCTCACTTTAACATATATTTGTATGTGCATTCCAAATTAATCACATGCCTCAAATAGAGACAAAACGTAACAAATATAAACACAGACAATAAAGCCCACAGACCCAAAGATTCAAATAATGAAAATATATAACTAGCATTGCAACCCTGGAAATTATATTAATATGTTAACGTGGATCCAAAATAATCAAAGTAAGAAAATGAAAAAGTTGATCCAAGATTAGAAAACACGATGACTATTGCACTATTTTAAGTTATCTAGGTATTGGATCCGCTCTTCTATTAGCATGCGTAGATTAGATTCTATTCATCTTCTTTATTTTTAATCTTAAGGGGCCCCTACCCGAACCCTTTTTTAAGAATTTCAAGCCCAAACCATTTCAACGGTTCAGGTGCTTCCAAGCCATGAGGCACAACCAACTCCTTCCATTACAGCTAGTGTGCACTTTAGGTAGTTAATGCACTTTTATAGGGATATGAAAAAAACAACAACGTAGAATAGCGACAAACGACTAAAATCAGGCTATTTTGAAGGGGGTTATGCCACTTCTGACAGAAAAATGTTGACAGTTTGACACAAATAAGTGTTGACAAGATATAATTGAATGTAAAAGTTGACTGTACAATGATAAGATGTCATGTGGCATTATGTCAAGTATTATGTTACTGCAGCATGATTCTTTTGAAGCCGGGATCTACACCAAGTGCAGTGGTACGGATGAAGACGTTATCTTCATGACGTCTCTGTTCATGCCTATAAGCTACCTCTCATGTTCCCTCTTCCACAAGGTCTCAGAACAAGCCAAGCCTTTACTTGAGAAACTATACCAAGTTCAGAAATTAGCTACTGGTGCAAATAACCATAATAACGAAAAGATTTGGAGTCAATCGTAAACCCATTCTACACATAATCGTTAAGAGCAGATATAACTCTTGAGAAATTAAAAATATAAATAAATAAAGTAAAATTTTCACCTTTTTATCCTCGGTTAAGGGCAGGAAGGGGTGTTTCTTCACAGTAGCGGCAGTCGGTGATATAGAGCTAATATGACGTCGTTTCCGATCAGCTTCACCTGTACTCCCCATCGGTAAACCGCCCTCACAAAACAAAACCCTGGAACTATAAATTATTCTCTAAACCTACATAAGATTTATTGGCCAATAACATTACAAACCCTAAAAATTTAACACCCATACACACTAAACACACTGTGTATGAAAGATTTTTCTTCAAGTAAACCCTAATTCAGGAAAAAAAAAAAAAAAAGTATTGTGCAGTTTTATACTGGCATAAAATCAATCGAGTTAATTTGTAATCGATAAGAGTCTTGGGGCTTTGTTTTTATCTCCTGTTTTTCCCTGTAAACTGAATAAACCCTCCCTCGCGCACACAGACGCGCGCACACGCAGACACAGACACAGACACAGACACAGACACAGACACCTCTGTTTACAGCGCGGGGGAGGAGGATTTTTTTCGATAGGGGGAATTAATGGGAAATATGAAAACTTCAAGGATTGGGGCCGATTGGCGGCTGTTTTAACGTGTTTGAGCCATTTAGAGCATGTCGAGGAGATTTTTTAAACATGAAATGCTTAAGTCAACGTTTAAAATCAAAGAGACTAAACCCCTGTTTGGTGCACATCTTTGGAAAAATAATTATTTTTACTGTTGATGTGATGGAAAATATGTGGTTAAAAAAAAAAATTATTGATGTGGTAAAAAATATTATTTTATTGAAGAACGTGTTGTTAAAAATGAATAGAATAATAAGAATGAAAAAAAAATAATATGACTCAAACATGGCCTAAATTAAATGCATTCAAAATGTTTCAATTTTCAATGTAGGAAAATAATAAAATAATTTAAAGAAAATCTAGTTAAAATAAAAGATATAGAAAGGTAATAAATATTTTTTTAGAGTAGTAAAATTAAATGTTAAATATAAAGAGCTTGTTGGAGTATTTCAAAATTTTAACTCTTTAAGCCCCTGTTTGAACCACATTAAAATTTGCATTTTCATTCTTCTACTAATTTTCAACCACACATTTTTCAATAAAATAATATTTTTCATCACATCAATAATTTTTCATTCTTTTTTAACCACACATTCTTCATTAATCTACTATTCAAAAATATATTCTTCCAAAATAATGTGTCTCAAACACACCCTAAATTTATAGATACTCTCCAAATGATAAAATATGCTTTTTGAAATTAGAGAATCTCTTAAGGCCCTGTTTGGGAGGAATTTAGATTTTTCTACAGTAAATCAATTCTCATTTTCAACCACACATTCTTCAATAAAATAATATTTTTCATCATATCAATAATTTTTGCTTCTTTTTCAACCACACATTTCCCATCATATCACTATTCAAAATCAATTCTTCCCCCAAAAATCCCTCCTAAACAATCTCTAAATATGCTCTTAAAAATGTATTTTGAAAAAATAGATATGAAAAATGTGTTATTAAAAAAAACTTTTTGAAGAATATATATTTTTAAAATTCATTTTTAACTATTCATTCTCCCATAAAATAATTATAAATCTATTTCCAAAAAAAATAATCTACTTCTAAGCACCCGTTCTCTAAAAAAATTATTATTCCATGATACATTTTACCCCATAAATGAGGATCAAATCGGGCTTAATAAATATAAGAAATAAATAATTGTCTTTTAAAACATATAGATAAAAAAAAATAGCCATTGTTTAGTAACAATTGAAATCTAAATTTTAAATTAAATCAAAGTCAACAACTAAGAGCATGTTTGAGCCTTTTTTTTTATTATTATTAAAAAGCATTTTGAAATAGTGTTTTGATGGAAAATGTGTGGTTAAAAATAAAAAAAAGTTTTATGTTTGCATGCAATATTATTTTATTGAAAAAATGTGTTGTTAGAGAGAGAAAAATGAATTTTGAAAAAAATTGAGACCAAACAAGGGCTAATTTTAACTACAAATTTATAGGACCCACAATTTTCGATCGCAAATTTTATCGACTTTTATTAAAATTTACTAAAAATCATAATTTCATCTCCATCAAACATGAGCTTAAAATAAACCATTTATAAATTTGAAGAAATGATCCGCTAACTACCATTGCAAGTGCTAAGCAACATTGACAATGATGGATCATTTAATTCCTGAAACCTAATCATGAAATTATTCACTAATAATTAAGCTTAACGCGTGATGTTTAATAGATCATTTCTATAAACACGAGTCAAACATAGACTAAACATGATTCACGTGTTGAGATAAGTAGAAGTTCGGGTTCTCAATCTTAAAAATTTCAAATTTATAGCAAGTTAATTTCGATCGACGGCTTTTATTTGTTTACGCTTGAAAAAGTTATATAACTCACACGTGTATTATTCTATCTAACGGTTTTCATTTGTAAGACAATTGAAAAGGGTGTTTAACTTGCACTTTCTCTTTTTCTTGAAAAGTTCAAATTTAGCCTCTGATTGAGCCACATTATATTTTTTATTCTCATTCTTATACTCATTTTCAACCACACATTTTTCAATAAAATAATATTTTTTATCACATCAATTACTTTTCCTTATTTTTCAATCACACATTCTCCATCAATCTTCTATTCCAAAATACTTCTTCCAAAATAATGTGACTCAAACACTCCCTTATAGCAAGTTAATATTCGATCTGATAGTTTATGTTTGTCGAAAAGGCATATAACTTAAACTTGTCGTACTTATTCATTATTAAAATAAATAGAAACTCAATGTCAATAAAAAGGAAAGAAAGAGAAAAACAAGTCTATGTTTGGTGGAGGGTTAAAATCAAAGTTTTAGTAAAATTTGATTAAGTTGGCTGACATTCTTTTTATTATAGTTCCGCAGCTAGAATTTCCAGTGACGAAACTTGTCACATAACTCTCACGAACACATCTCACTCCTCACTTCAAATTTCTATGTATGCACTACTCTGTATCAACTCGAGTTGTAAAATAAAACTCGATTTCATAAAATTAAATGCACGAGCTACATGATGATTCAAGATGGATTTAAACAGTTGCCTTTTTCAGTTTTTTTTTTTTTTTCCTGGAAGTAGAAGTCAAACAATTTCAGTTATTAGAACTCACATTAAAAGGTTGAAATGTAAGAGATTGTTCTCTTTGTATTTCAATTTTGTGTTTTGTGTTTTGAATTCATTTTGAAATTGTTGAAAATGTGTTCTTTTGACATTTTGATTTTTTTTTTTTTAAACACCCAAAATGTGTTTTGAAAATTTTGACTTGATTATAATTGAAAACATTTTTCTTTGTAAATTTTTAACTTATTTTAAAAAATGTAATTTCGAAAATAGGAAAGAGAACGCGTTTTCACTGTTTTGAAAAATCGAAAATAGAAAATGACTTGAAAATTGTAAAGAGAACAGATCCTTACTTTTTACATTTCAAAGGTCAAAATTAACTCGTTACGAAATGGAAATTATCAGTTCCTTTTTTTCCAAGTACTAATCACTCTGTTTTCTAATAATTTTCTTATCCCCCGTTTGACCCCATTATTCTACGTTATAATGAGAAGAATAGTGATTTGTTGAAAAATATGTACTTATTAAAGAAGAAAACGTTTTTGAGTTTACGTGTAATATTATTTTATTGAAGAATGTGTAGTCGATAAAAAGAGACGAAGAAAAATGAATTATAATTTTGCCCTTGTTCGGTCCGGATTAAAATCTAATTTTAATCAAAGTCAGAGTTAAACAATCAATATTAACCACATCTTTCATGAATCCCACAACTTTTTCACCACACATTTCAAAAATTTATATCACAATTTACTAAAAATCTAATATTAATTCCCACCACACACCTTCTTAATGAGAAATAATGGAGGCCAAACGGGAACTTAATACCTCGTGAATTTTTCTAATAATACTATCACTTTTTACAAATCTCCTTTTACGCAAAGAACTAATCAATCCCTATACAATAAAAGAGCCACTTTCCATTTTACTGTTCACACTTTCGTCCGATTAAACGACACCGTTTTGGCATATGGTTTTCCCCTTTTTCTTCTTCGTCCTGAGAATCAGTTCGGCTTAAGCATCCATCGCTAAGACCCATCTACCTCGCTCACTCATTGTTCTTCTTCGTGACTACCTCTGCCGTTCCTCGAAATTCTTCAGAAGAACCCAAAAAAAATTCGCAAAAAAATTAACACCTTCGCTTCGCGACAGTGTTATGCAAGGGTAGATGCTCAGACGAAACTTACTTCTCTATTTTCGTCCTTAACCCCAGCCCTTTTTCGTTCACCGCTTCCATCTTCCACCACTCACTGCCACCACTTCACTTGTCCAGTCGGTCCATCGGCCTCCTCTTGTTTGTGGTAGTTGTGTCAGAGTCGACTCTCCTATTTGACTCGCAAGTTCTGTGCTACAGAGTAAGGGTTTCCAGATTGGCTTCGTGATTACATTTTTTAAGGGTATTTTTGTTAAGATTTGTTGTTCATTTTTGTGTGGGTTTATGTTGATTTGTGAGGTGAAGTTTTATTTT